AAAATCTAGTAAGTGGGGAACCTGGGTGGCTAAGTCAGTTAAGTGTCCAATTTGATCTCATAGTTCATGGGATTGAGCCCCACTTTGGGCTCCACACTGACAGTACAGGATCTGCTTGGGATTCTCTCTCTCCCTCCCTCTCTACACCCCTCCCCTGCTCACTCATGTGCATGCACGCTCTCATTCTCTCTCTCTCTGTCTCTCTCTCTCGCAAAATAAATAAATAAACTTAAAAAATCTAGCATGTGTTTTGTAAATATTTGTCAGCTATTTAAATTGTGACAGTCTTATGGGAAATGACTGTATGCTTGTGCTGCCTACAATATATTTAGAATATTGAGGAATTACTTTCATAACTTTTACTTCCAGAAATTTGGCAGATTCGATGTTCTGAAAAACTCTCCTGCTATAAGCACCTTGAAATGCTGCATAAGGTCAAATATACATCTTTAAACTGTATACATGAGCTCACAATAAAACAGTAGAAATCTACAAGTGTCAAAAATGGAGAGAGAGAAGCCCCTGGGTAGTGATGTCCACAGGCCGCCCTGGGGCATCTCAAGTCTTGAAAAATCAAGAGAGGAGAGGCTGTGTGTGGGGATCTAAGACTAGGCATAGGACCCTTTCCACGTGGGGAGCTGGAACTCTCATACCTACATGAAGTCCAGACCCTCAAAAAGTCAGTATTTCTCTTTTTCTTTCTAGAAGAGGATGATAGATAAAGTTTTTAAAAATAAAAACTTGTATTAGATATTTGGGGGAGGGAGATATAAATATAAAGACCAAATTCTGCCTATGGGAGGAGGATAAGAGGGAGAGTGAAGGAAGTGAATGCACTGAAAAAAGGACACTTCTAGTATATGTGCAGTGTTTTTTAACTCTTGGGGTATGGCCACCTCAGGTTGTTATATTTTTGTTTTGTGAATTATTTTAGAATGAAAGACCATAAAGAAAAAAACAAGGTCACAAAGTAGCATATATGGTATGTCTGTCTGTATCTGTGCTATGTAAATGTGCAGAACTTCTAGAAGGATGAACGCTTAAACATAGACTTACACAAATTGCAGAAGGATTCATATAGTTAGGTAACACAATTTAAGACATGGAACAATACTATCTATTAGCACTTAAAGATACTTATCTACATAATACCATTATTATAAAGAGATTATATATATGAGAGATTATATATATGTAATATATATGTATATATATTATATATGTATATATACACGTATGTATATTACATATATATGTATATATATATACACACACATATGTATACATATTACATATGTGTGTGTGCCTATGTATAAAATATGTAAAAAGAGGGGTGCCTGGGTGGCTCAGTCAGTTAAGCGTATGACTTTGGCTCACGTCATGATCTTGTGGTTCGTAAGTTCGAGCCCTGCATCAGGCTCTGTGCTGATGGCTCAGAGCCTGGAGCCTGCTTTAGATTTTGTGTACATATATACATGTATAAAGAGTTTGATGAACACCAAATTAAGTATAGTGGTAATATTGCAGGGCAGGGTGGAGAAGGCACCTACAAAGGGCCATCCTAGGTGAATTGGAACAATTTTGATAATATAATTGTCTCTAAAGCTGGGTGGGAGTAGTACATGAATTTCAGTTATGTTATTCTTCATTCCTCTTTTTTCTCTCTTAAATATTATAAAATATACTGTAAAGCTTTTATAATGAAATATTTTGGTGTCATAATCTTCTGAATAGCACTTGGGCATGCTTGAGGTCCTAAAGAAATGCTGGTGATCTGATACTTTTATTTATTTTTTTATTATTAAATTTTTTTTAAGTTTATTTATTTATTTTGAGAGAGAGAGAGAAGCGGAGAGAGACAATTCAAAGCAGGCTCCACACTGTCAGCACAGAGCCCCATGTGGAGCTTGAACTCACGAACCATGAAATCATGACCTGAACCAAAACAGAGTTGGATGCTTAACCAACTGAACTACCCAGGTGCCCCAATCTGATACTTTTATGGAGTGACCACCTCAGCTCAGAATTGCCTCTTTGATTTTTTTTCTAATTCAATGATTTATTTTATTAATAGTATTTATTGAACTCCTACAATGTCTCAGTCCCTGTTTTACATGCTGGAGATACATCAGTGATTAAAACAGACAGAAACTGTAATCTAGTGCATATCAGATTCAGACAATCTTAAGAAAGTCTGGAATCTGCAAGAAAAATTGTTGGATATACTCTCTTATCTGCTGTTAATGGGGTTAGTAGATAGTTGGTAGAGAGTGCTGGAAGGTTTTTAGATTCATTTCTGAGAGTGCTGTATATCCTCAATCTAGAAATTGCAATCAAATCCTGTGTCAGAATATGCTAAAGTGCACCTATAATTACTATATCACATCCTATTTGGGTAGACTCATCAGATAGGCCTGGAGGAAAATTGAGTTAGAATTAAATTGAATATTATGACAGTTTTTTTCATTTATCAGTTGTCCTGATAAGATAGTCTTGATATTGCTGTGGTTTAGATTTGCATCCTAGAAAACACACAGGAATCTTCTTCTGAACCTGAGAAGTCATCACACATCACACTCCCTCCCAAATATTGATTATGATTAATTTGTTCCATATTACTGACTGATAACAAGTATCTTTTTCAAAGGAGTAGAGGATCATGCCTTCTTTGAAGGATAAAACTCAGTCTACTTGCTTGTCCTGTCACCCATCCTCTCACTTAATAAACCACCTAAAACATGATGCCTTACAATAGGGGTGCCTGGGTGGCTCAGTCAGTTGAGAGTCCTACTCTTGATTTCATCTCAGGTCATGAACTCATGATTTGTGAGATCAAGCCTGGCATTAGGCTCTGGGCTGACGGTGCGGAGCCTGCTTGGGATTTCTCTCTCTCCCTCTCTCTCTGCCCCTCCCCTGCTCACATACACATACTCTCTCTCTCTCTCTCTTTCTCAAATAAATAAATAAACCAAAAAAAAACCTATGATGCCTTGTAACAATAGTCATTTCATTAAGCTCAAAATCTGTAGTCTAGGAATTTGGACAGTGTTCAGGTAAGCAACTCTTCTGCCTCATGGAGCCCTGATTAGGGTCACTCAGTTGTATTCAGCTAGTGGTTGTTTAGATTTGGAAAGTCCAAGAAGGATTAATTCATGTGTGTTGCCTTATTTGTATTGACTGATGTCTGGGCTCAGCCAGGCCCCTCTCCCTTTTTTTATAGTTTGAGGGCTGTCTACATGGTTTCTCTACAGGGTAATTGAACTTCTTACATGGTGACTCAAGACCCTAAGAGAGTGTGTTCCTAGAGTCAGGAAGTATGAGCTACCAGTCTCATAAGGCCTGGACCCCATACTGGCACGGCACCACTTCCAACCCATCCTATCAGTCAAAGCAGTCACAGAACACACCAGATTCAAGGGGAGTAGACATATATTCCTGAACATATACCAGGGAGGAAGGTCAGTGAATTTGTGCCAATCTTTAATCCATCATACCATCCTTTATCCCTGTTAGCTAGTGAAACTACATTAGGGTCATTGGTATTCATTGTCAGAGCCCATACATAGGCATAGCTCACTGAGACAAGCAGAATCAGTCAAAGCACAATTGGTTAAAAGGTGACTGATATATCAAAGTGTCTCTTGGGGTGCCTATAAACCAGAGGAAAGCAAGATAATATAATATTGGGCAGCAGGCCAGCCAATTAGCTGGAACAATGACTCAGCAACTGGGAGTTAGGGGTTACAGCCAGAATGTCATTCCTTCATTTATTCAGTCCATTCCACTTAATAAATACTTATTGAGTGCGTAACCACCTGCCAGTTACTACTAGGTGCAAGGGTGAGATACCTGTTCTCATGGATCCTATAGTCTGTTGGAGGTTAACAATAAATGGGTAAATGATTCAGTAACCTACAAAACATTACAGATTTGGCAGGGAGTGAAAATCTATTAGTTGTCAGAAATAACTCTGTATAGCATCCATGTTTAATCTGATTATCCAAGTGGTACCGAAGAACCAAGATCAGGAGGAAGCACATTCTAGAAAGAGTAAGAAGAAAGCGCAAGGTAGGAGGAACTGGATGAAGGTCAGTGTGTTTGGAGCACTATGAATGATGAGAAAGTTGTAGGAAATGAAAATGGAGAAAGATGCAGAAGTCAAATAACTGAGGGCCTAAAACTGTGGTTAGAGGAACTTGGATTTTATTTGGAGTGTGAAAGGAAGCCAATAAAAGAGTTTGATTCAGGAGAGTGGCATAAGTGATTGATGTTGTAATAACACCTCTGGTTACCGTGTGGGGAATGGACTGTGAGAGCACAAAACTGGAGGAAGGAGACCATAGATTAGTGCAGTGTGTGTGTGTGTGTGTGTGTGTGTGTGTGTGTGTCCCCCGATAAGAACTGAAGACCAGGTATTAGTGGTGGAGATGGAAATAACAGATGGGTTCAAGAGATATTTAGAAGGAAACCTCGGTAGGGCTAGGTGATAGATTGGAAGGGTACAGAGGGAGAGGAAGGCATCAGAAGGAGTGCTAGGTAACTGGGATCCCCTGTCATCTCAGCTCCCTTCTCACCCAAGTTAGGAGAGAATATTTAGATCATTATTTTCACTCATCTCAAGCTCGCTTTTGAGAGTGAGGCTTCTGTATCACCAGGTGGCTTCTGTAAATGCTACCAGCAGTGAGCCCAGAAATGTTCAGAGACACTAAATATATTTTCAAAGTGCCTTTCAATTCACTAAGGGAAAAAAAGAGGGGAAATGCCTTCCTCACCTTTTCACTGTCAGCATATTAGGCTGAGCCAAGAAACATGAGCTTTCCCTCCATATGAGTGTCATAGTGCATCTTTGAAAAGTAGCTAACCTGATTATGGAAATGAAGTTGAGAGACTCAAGCTCTGTGGGAGACTATGACTTGTTCCCCCCGCCTGCCACAGAAATAGCTCTAGGATACCTCACTTCCCTGCTACATGGTGCTATTCCTCTTCATTTATTTTCTCAGGTGAAGGAACATTGAGTGGTCACGACTCCAGCTTTGTGCCATTGCGCCCAGCTTTCATCAATCACAGCTTCAGACACTGGACCAAACAAGATGCCAGAAAAAAATCTGAGTGAGAATTATTTTTGGGGCATATCTTTACAATGCTTCAGGTTGTCATTTATCATATTCTAGTCTGAGTGGGGGTGAGTTTGGACTCACATAAAAAAATAAAACATAAAAAAATGTAGAGTGGAATTATGGACAGGCATACCCTGAAGACACAGCAATGGAGGGATATAAATGTGCTCCACTAGCCAGATGTTGTGGTCTCTGACAAGGAAATGTTGTGGGTTCAAATTTCAGCCTCCTTAGCTTCACAGCTTAGCTCTTGTTCATCTCCCTTGTTAAAAATTTCTCCCTTGTTAAAAGATTCATGTGAGCAACTTGTACAAATAAATCTAACTATCATAGTCAAAGCACTTTGGTATTCAAAAATCTGTGGTTCAAAAAATCTTTGGTCCTTACCTCTAACCAGTAAATTTTGCTTCAACTGAATTGTTTCTCTGGCTCTTCACATTCAGCAATATGCTCTGTTCAACTTAGAGCAAGATATTTTAGAATTATTTCTAAATCAGTCTAAGATATGCACAAGTAAATAGAAATTTGTGGTCATTATCTTCTGTTCTATCTGTATACCATGCTAACAGTTCTAAAGACCATAAATGTGCAGAGTAACATTGACACTCGGCCACTGCATGGAACACTCCAGTGGATACCATTTGTACTGTCTTTGAGTCCTGGCCACTGGATAGTTAGCCAGGCGAGGCCCTTCACATGCCCCATGAAAGTTGTGGAATGAGGCAGCCTTGTTGTTCACCATCCATGAATCAACTTCATGAACCTATTAAATGCCCCCTTCCTGCCTGTGGCATGACCTGTGGTACCTAGGGGAAACCTCCAGGCATTCTTGGACTTACCCAGCTACAGATGTCACCTGATAGTGTGCTTATATAATTTATACCTTGGCTTTTGCTTTGGTTTCTGAATGTATTCTGTCCTACTGTACGAGAACCCTAACCCAAGCCCCACCTAGTTATTTTCATTCTCTTTTCCAGGGGAGTGGAATCTGTTCCTTGTGGCCACCCCATGCTGTATTCCAACACTTGGCTAGGATCTTGGCCTAGCAAGCATAATTTGCCTTAGTCTCCTCCAGAAATTCTTTCTGTAAACCTCATCTGCCAGATCCAATTCAGATCAAGGCCAGGTGTGCTCACCCCCTAAAACTCTGTACCTTGTCCTATTGTGAAATCATGCCCAACCTTGATTCTGACATTTTGGGCTTAGTCCCCACTTCTTGCAGGATCACCTTTAAGGATCTTGTGGGCAACACAAGAGATGACATTATCTTATCATAAATCCATGTCATTGGACATGTAAGTGTGGGCTAAGTTATATATAACTTGAGTTAAGAGCCTCTTGACACAAAGTTTTAAATTTAATTGCTGAAACATGTCAATAAATATCACATATTTTCTATTTTCATTCTATATGAAAAGCATAGAATATTTGGAAGATCAGTTCACAAGCATTGGATCCTCTTGCATAGGGTCAACTAGTGACAAACTTTCTCATCCTGAACTGTCATTCTCTCCTTTCCGCCCAAGCTCCCCTATCTTTTCACCCTAGGGAACCCTTAGAAATTTGGACCAAAGGAAGAAGTTAGATATAAGAGATGCAAGCCACAGGTTATCTTCAATTGTTGTTTTCCTTTGTGGTGAGGAGAATGAGATCTGCCCTTGTCTTCCTAAAGAGACCCATAAGGCTCTGGACATAATGAGTTCTATTCTGGGAAATAAACCAAAAAATGAAATTTGGATTATTTTAATGCTGCGCTTCAGTGATCCAAAGAAAACAATGAGTTGAATATTTGCAAATACTGTAATGTGACTTAGTTACACCATTGCAGTCTAGATACACATTTAAGACACATGAAATCCCTCTGCTTCCTGGTGGCCCCCCAGGGGTGACATCACTTGTTATGAAGTTAAGAGGGAGTAGCTCAAAGAATGTAATGGAAAAATCCCAAATTCATATGTAATTGGTTATGAATTCCAGAAAGTTCACTGTGTTTACCCTGGAAGACTGCATCTTTTAGGAATCAGGAGTCTTTTGTTGAACATGAAACTGTTGAAGATCCTATTCCTCCTACTTACACACCCAGATTTTGTTGATTTGAAACTCAGATGTAAGCATGGGGACCTTCGGCCGCTCCCTTTTTGGCAGGAATGGGAGGTAGGATATCTCAGGACAAGGAGCAAAACCCCACTGCTTGTCTTGAACAACCTCTCCCCATTTTCAGAATGGGAGGGTTTAGGTAAATGGCCAAAGACTGTTTCCCTGGTTGTGTGCAGTAGGCACAACACAGTGAAAAGAGCAGTGCTTTGGTGTTGGGCTGCTGACCTGGGTTTCAACCCTATTATTGACTGTGTAATCCTAGGAAAGTGCCTTGATCTCTCTGAGTCTGTTTCCTTATATGCAAAATTGGGGATAAAAATACTTACCTTGCAAGAATTGTTGTGAGAATTGAAGATAACTATTTTTCATGTTTCCCAAAGAGTAGAAATTCATAGCCAATAATAGCGGTTATAAGTATTTGTGATTATTATTACTACTATTATTATCTTATCATCTCCCTCTCCTAATACTTCCTTCTGAGAATTTCTTACAAATTCCCCAGTGATGACCAAGCTCTGAGAAACATTCTTTTTCTTCTTTTGTCTTCGGGTGGACTATCTCCCAAACTTACCCCAAACTGCTGAGATTTCCTCAGCCTGACTCGCACCCCACAAGGGACTTCCTACTCAGAACCTGAATATTGCTTCACTCACCTTTGCAGAGCCTCCTGTCTCATGCTCAGAGAGCCCCAGAGACTCCACTGTGGTGGTTAAAATCAAGCCACCAGCATGAAGCACTACATCTCTTCAAAGAAGACTCAGTTATTGTTTGTGCCTTGAATACAGGAATTAGCTTAATCAATTACACTTTGCTATCAGAAATGGCCAAACACAATTTCTAATTTTCAATAATTTTTATACCATAATCATAACTCTACCTATGACCATAGATTTTAAATTTATATATGACGTAAGTGTAACTTAAGTGTAACTTTTATAAGTGCAACTTTTTTATATTTCCATGATTTAATTAAACTAACTCGGGACTCTATGCTATCCCCACTCACTGTAGAGGGAAAGATGGATGATCTTGATTTTGCAGATTGGACGTAATTTAGTCACATTCAGTTGAAAATTTAGCCTCTCAGTTAATTAAATTCAATTCAGGATTTAGAGGCACACAATTCAAAGTTTGTAACCTTTCCTTCCATTCGCCACTCTGTACTGTTATGTCGGGGTAGCATGTCTGGTCTATGGGCCAGCCTCAGCTCTTCAGCAGCTGCCATTGGCTTTTTAGGGATCTACCTCTGAAGCACTCTATCTGTTGCTGATGTATCTGGTTGGGGATCTTGGACAGAAATATGATTCTGATGTTTATTGTCCCTGCCAGAGCCTCTGGTGAGGGGATCCATGTCTTCTGCATCCTTCTCACCCTGACTGGGACTTCTTTAAAAAAAATTTTTTTTTTTTTTACATTTATTCATTTTTGAGACACAGAGAGAGACAGAGCACAAGCATGGGAGGGACAGAGACAGAGGGAGACACAGAATCCGAAGCAGGCTGTCAGCACAGAGCCTGAGTCTGTGCTGAGCTGTCAGCACAGAGCCTGACGTGGGGCTCGAACCCAGGAGCTGTGAGATCATGACCTGAGCTGAAGTTGGACGCTCAACTGACTGAGCCACCCAGATGCCCCTGACTGGGACTTCTTTTATTCCTCTGTCCCTTCTGGCCCTTCTCAGAGCCATATAAAGGATGCATGAACTTCTGGATAACCACCATATTGTTCTTAGGTTGTTTCCCTGCTTAAAGATACCACCCCTGCCTTCCTACTCCACTCCATCCACCCTGTGACAATGCCAGCACATTGAGAGGAAGTCTCCTTTCACAGATCCAGACAGCAAGTGGAGCAGAAACCTTCTCTATGTTCAGCCTACTCCCAAGTTACCAGGGATTTTTGTAGTCTTATGTTCCTTCCTTAGCCTGAGGCCCAGGGGATGGGAAACATTGCTTGTTGCTGTTCTGATAGCTTTTCATCTTGTCTTTCTTGCTAAAAGAAACCCAGTTTTGTTCAGGATACCAATGTGGTTAGTGTCAATATTCACCTTTTCAAGTTCCCTTTCACTAGGGATGGGCAATAAGGTATGAATGGGGAAAAAAGATATAAATGGATATAACTGGATAGGCCTCTCTGAAGGTATTGTTTCTAGGACTTAAAAAAACTTAAAAAACTGATATGTACCTTTGACTTTTCTCCTTCTTAATTATTGAAGTGCATCCATGATGACAGGAGGTAGAGTACTCACCTTGTAACTGACCAGCCATAGGCTAACATGGCAATCGGATGCCAGGAGAAGTCTGGAACGTTGATGAATTACTTACCTTCAAACTTCTTGTTAGAGGGGAAAAATAATCCCCTACTTACGTAAGTCATTGTGATTATGTCACTTGTACTTGTAGCTAAAAGCAATAAAAATGATCAACTTGGACACCATATATATCCTAGTCTTGCCACTTCTAAATATGTGTGACTTTTCAACTTCCACTTGTACCCCTAGACTAGCAAGTGTTTTTATTAACATTCTAGATGTCAGGAAACCGCTGTTATATCATTGTGGGGAAATGAAACTTCTCTGGATTCCTCAGTGCTCCTGCAAAAAGCTCCAGTCGCCTGAGACAGAGAAATGTGAAAGATACAAAGATAGAGAATACTGGCTTTCACTTCCCCTGGATGCATTTTCACATGCCATAAGGATTAGATCTGTAGCCATTTGTTTTTCTAATGATGTAGCTAATTGTTCTGATCTGAAAGGATAATACAACTTCTCTTATCTCCTCCAAATCCAAACATCCTGAGATAGGCACTTAGATGAGCTCCTAGGAATTTATGTATAAAAAGAGATGAAAAACCAGGACCTCTCTAGGTTGGAACACACCAGGCTTTTTGACTCCCGGAGAGATTTTATTTACAATCCAAATAGAGTGAGAACCCAGCATCCTTTCCATTCTCAAAGGATCAGAAGTTTTTAAATTTCTTTCTTTTCATCTTTTATTTGGGGAAGGACATAGAGGTGGCAGCTTCTTTCCTGTGTGTAAATGGAGAAAATCCATTATTCTCTGCCCCTGCCCCACACACCTAAGTTAAAAGATTCCATGGCTCTCATTGAGAAGTCTGGGGGATGGGTGTGAGGGACAGACTCTGCAGTCCTATTCTGGTTGTTGATCTGGTTGTATCAATAAAGAATTCCCAGATGCTTTATGTCCATAG